CTCCAACAGGTTTCTGGGAGGCATAACAATGGAAGTATTCAGGGGGATCACATAGCACTTATCCAGGTTAAGATCTAAATAGGCAGTGAGTTTCTGGGAAGAAAAAAAATATATTTTAATTAGATTAATATCTTCAAGATGGGCAGCAACTGAATTTTAAATAACTGGTCTCATTAAAAAAAAAAAAAAACACCAACAGGTGGTCTTTAGAACGCATAAAATCATTTGCATTTCACACATCAAGATTCTGGTGGAATAGCCAGGAAAATAGGAATGAAGGAGAAAAAATCATCACTAATAAATGCAATCCTTACAAGAATTTGTTTTTAAGGACCGGTGAGTTAGCTCCTGCTTAGGCAATCTCAGGGACTGGGGTTCGGATTTAGGGTGCTGGCCATGCTGGCCCTGTCCCTGGGGCATGCTGAGATGTTGAGTGAGACTGGGTGTGGTGGCCCACGCTCATAATCCCAGGGCTTGGGGAGCTAAAAACAGGAGGAATACCAGAAGTCTGATCTGTGTAGTGAGATCCTGTAGAACCTGTACTAAATTTAAAAAAAAAAAAAAAAAAAGAAAAAAGTTTGGGGGTAAAGTGGTAAATGAGAGAAAGAGATGAAACAGATATGGCAAAAGGTCTAAACCAAGCGGAAGACTTGGGTTGTTGCTTCAACTCCTCCAGGAGCATAAAATTTGAAAAGCTGGAGTAAAATGCAGAATGAGAATTTATAAATTGATTAACAAATCATTAATTTCTGAAAATGCTACAAAGAAATGGGAACATAAACGATCTCTTATCTAAGAAAATGTGGATGTGAAATAAAAACAAGAACTTGCCAGTAAAGGAAGCAAAAGTCATAAGCAGACTTTTAGAACAGGCAAGGCCAAGGGATAAAATAAAGCATGATGTGACAAAGGGGTCTGCTTCAGATCAAGCAGAGCCACCAAGTACTGATAATTTATCTTTTAATGCAGAGAAACCCAAGTCTATTTTTTACATAAAAACTAAGCGCTAAATACAATTTTGCAAGTAATACATTGTGTGTGTGTGTGTGTGTGTGTGTGTGTGTGTGTGTGCATTCTTACTTTGTACCTGTGATTATACTTTTTACAACTTGGGAAAATTGTCTCACCTTGTTAAAATCATGAACAATGTTGGCAGGATCACTATCTGCAAATTCTGGAACAGGCACACTGATGAATTCGACCTCATCTTCTTTAAAGATCTTAATATTTTCTTCAATTGTCTGGTAGCGAGCAGCTGGGGCGTCTGCAGAAGGCTCATTTAGGATGACATCATCTTTGATGTACTTTATTCCACAGTAGTACACGTCATCTGGCTATAGAGAATTTAAACACTCATTTTAGCATTTCAGTGTGAGACAGGTTTTTAAATGTAAGCATTACTTAAGCTGCCACCTCTATCCAAATAGCATTTCGCTTGCAAACTCTTACTTTTAGATGACAAGTTAGACAGTTTAATTACAGAGTTTAGCACATTCTCTAAGTTCAGGTTTTGAAGTATTCTTTAAAAAATGACTCCAGAAGAAGGAGAAATGCAGCTGAATCTGATTTTCTCTTTTCTTTTTTGTGTTAGTTAAGAACACAATACAAAAGCAATTATCTACCTGGTGACAAGTACATCTGAACTAACACATAGGCCTACCTTATCTGTAGGCACTGTTTTTCACAAAAGAATATATTCAAAAGTAATATCTTTTGGAAAGAAACTTCAAACTTTTAATGTAGTTTACTTATTAAATGATCCCCACACCTTTTTGGAAACGAGCTAGGGATTTAGTACAGTGGTGGAACACATGCCTTGCGTCACTGCACGCCTGAAGTCCTCAGTCCACTTCCTCAATTTTTTCCTTTTCATTAGTCAAAAGTGGAAGAGGGTAATTTCTATGAAATTTTCATATGAATACAGATGACTGGTTTTTTCCCTAAATTTTATCACAGTTAAATACATATTTGAAAAAGTATACATAAAATGGACTGGGAACCATACAATAAACATTTCAGCACAAAATCTTAGCTCTGCAAATGATTTTGCTTGTACTGTATCTATTTCTTGTAAAAAACTGTATAAAATATAACCAGTCTACCAACAAGCTATTATCTTGAATATAGAAATGAATATAAAATTTATACACCCTCTAGCAGAATATTTCAAAATCAGTTATTTTTTAAAAATGCATCTAGTTGTCAACTATTTCTCCAAGTTTTGCAAGTTTAAAACATGTGAACTAATTAAAAACTCAAAGTAAATTTCCCCTCAAGATTCCTTAAGGGGGAGCCAGGAAGATAGCTCAGCAGCATAAGTGTATGCCTGGCAAGTGCAAGGTCCCAAGTTCAATCCCTGGTAAAAAGATTCTTTAAGGAGAGGAAAGCATACTGAATTACTGACAACAGAAATATATCACAAAAGGGCCGGCCAAATAGCTCAGTGGATTAAAGTGCCTGCAAACTGGCGCAGGGGCCAGGGGTTCAATCCCTAGGCCTGCCAAGCCAGGCCTGGCTTGTGCCAAACCAGCCATGCCCCCGAGGCATGCTGAGAGGGCAACTGAGACTGGGCGTGGTGGCACATGCCTGTAATCCCAGCTCTTAGGAGGCTGTAAACAGGCTGATCAGTAAGAGTCACATCTAGTAGTGAGACCCTGAACACCCTGTAGATCCTTCCCTAAAATACAAAAAAGAAACATATCACAAAGCAGATTAATTGGATTAAAAATGTCGTAAACACTCTAAATCATAAGTAACTTTCACCCTAAATTATTTCAACATCACTGCTAAAGTCATAACTCTTCAAAGAAACCAATGACTAGCAGAGATGTACTATCAGTGGTCTCTAGGTGCAAGGGTGAGGGTATCTGGAACTGGCTATCAGGTGATAAGTTTATCAACATGACAACATTTATGGCTAATTTATTTACTCAACTGGCAACGCATGATACTGTACCATTTAGCCACTGACTATGGTAGGAAAATGGTTAGCTTAATTTTAAAAAACCACTTTTTGTCAACATCTCAAAATACTGTTATTCTGCTTGCAAAGACTGACTATCTAATATGTATGGCAAAAGTGATCAGATTTTTAAACAACTTTAAATTATGTCCTTCTGTCTAAAGGCATAAGCTTAGAACTAGAGAAAATGTTCTAATATATTTGATGACCAGAAAAAGCCAAAGAGGCTAATGAGATGGCTCAGTGGTCTAAAGCACCTACTTAGAACAAGCTTAGCAAAGCACAGGGACTGCGGTTCAATCCCCCCAGCAACACATGCCAGCCAGCCCTGCCCCCTGGTGGGCTGAGCTGGCCACACACACACACACACACAAATAAATAAAAATTAAAAAAAAAGCCAAAGATAAAATACATGGTGGCAGCAGGCCTAGAAAGCACTCTGGGAGGCTGAGAAAGGAGAATATCATTTGAGCCCAGCCTCTGCAACTTAGGAAGACCTTGTCTCTTTAAAAAAAAAAAAAAAAAAAAAAAATCCATTCTTCAATTAGACACTTACTTGAAGTGCAAAATATTTGTACAGGTATGCTCCACCAAGAATGACTCCTGCAAGCATAAATGCTAGTCCAAAGCACATGCACCAACACCAGGCTCTTCTCTGGCCAACTGGTACCACATCATCTGGGTCCTAAAACATAAAAGACAATCGATATGAACTTTTAAGCAGAAGCCTCTGGATCAGAAAGACTCTTGTTTTAATAAATGAAGACATATAGACCAAAAGAGTTTGAGCCCTGGTCAAAATCAACCAAAGATTTTGATGGCTTTTCTGGCCGGCAGATACCAGCCCCCAGGGAGGATTCTGACCACTTCTCTAATTGTCAACAGCCATTAAGCCTAAACCTAAAGCAATGACCCATGTTCAACTTCTGGTAATCTCCTACCATTAAGACACTCAGAAAAAGTTACAATACAACTTTGTCATACAATATTATGATTCCAAGACCCAGGGCTTCTCTCTATCAGATTACGTATAAAACTATGCAATAGCCTGTTCTGAGGATGTTGTATTTACACCACATAAAAACATTCCTAAAAGCCACAAGAAATTAAAAAGGAAAATAAGACAGAACAAATTCTGACAATGAAATTCAATTAATTTTTTTAAAGAAGTTATTTAGAAATAATTATATAATCCCATTGCCCTACCCCACCCAGTTTGATAAAGTTCTTTTCTAACAGAAAAAAAAGATTAAAAATTAATTGAATAATAAAAAGTAAAATCCAATATAAAGTTGCTTCAGGGAAAAAAGCAGACTTAAACTTACACAGATGCTAGAAAAATTGTATAAACAATGCACACAAAAAAAAATCAGCGTGAGTTCATCTCGCAAAAAAATATATTGGCCAAAATAGGAATTCACTTAAAAATAAAAGCTAAAGTTGTATGTTTTCAATTTTAAAATAAAGATTTTAACTTTGCTACTACAGAAAAAGTCTAATCCTAGATGTTATGGAAACTAAGATCAACGTTAGCAATATGCTCCTAGGTTGAGGGTCTACTTTTAAACACAGAATTTAACACAGAACAACAAATGCTGCTTAATCTAAGGATCAGATCAAATGCTGAGAGCATTACACTTAAGTTATGGTACTTAGCAAATACTGTGTATGCACACTTCAGGCAACTACTGCACAGCAAGGAAGCTGTATGTAATAAGAACAAGCCTTGAAAAACTTATCAAGCCATGTAAGTCACATCAATGTGTAAAGAAAAGTTGTCAGGACCTAGCAGAGTCAGGTTATTATAAACTTGAACATTAAAGTATACTTTTTTTATGTATTTAATACAGGGTCTATAGGGTCTTACTACGTAGATTGGTCCCTAAAGTACACATGTTTTGCTTGAGCTCTCGTGTGACATAAATGTCAAAGCAGATAGTTTTTTTCCTAATGTAATTAATTTCTGAGTGGAGGCAAGGGTGGAAATGATAGGTGGAGATAGTAATTTCCAATAACTGGTATCAGCTGCTGAGACAGCCAAACATGTACGCACACACCCACCCTATGCGGCAGCATTTCTCTCTTAACAGTATATAAATGAATAGTCAAAGACTACAGGCACATGCAGTACTTAACAAAATAATGATGGAGCCTCAGCTGTCAAACTGATGACAAGTTTTCAGGCTTATTAATACATCATTTTCAACTGCTCCAAGAGTACTTTTGAGAATTATAAATGCCTGCTGTAAGCCATCAAAAGTTGTGCCAGGCACTGAATGTAGCCTCTGCCAAGAAAAAGACTGGCTGGATCATCAGTCTATGAAATAGCTAATATATATAAAGAGAATATAAACACGATATGGGCTCTAACAGGAAAATGCGCCAAGAGCCCATTATAAAAGATAAGCTTGAAGACTTCTCAGGAGAGAAAACATTTGCATGCAATTCTAAAGAATACTCTTACCCACACAGAAGGCAAAGTCAAAGTAAATTATGCATAAGGCAAAGAACAAACAGCAAGAATACATAACATTCTCAAAGGCCACATATTGAGCTGCAGTACTCAATATGATGGCTAGCAATACAAAAGATGAACATGAGACGTCACTGGGATATGTAACTTTACCTGGCCTACTTAAAAGTCACAGAAGCCCTTCTTCTCCTGTACTGCAATAAAATTGGTGCAGCACCTTAAACTGGTAAATTATAAAGTAACAGAACTCCCTAAAGTGCTGTACAATTATCATCTCATTAATCTTCCTGAAACATCAAGATTTTAGCCCAGTTTACAAACGAAGGCAGTAAAGCACAGGATGGCCTATAACTACCCCTCAATAGCAGTTATAGAAAGACAGCTTTCAGAAGCATTCTCACTCTTGGACCATATTAAATTCTGGTTCAAATCTTATCATCAGACAAGAAAGAAAATTAATTAGTAAGTTATATTAGCCAACAAAGATAAATTGTGTCATATTACTTCAAATGAAGAATTAGGTTATCTTAATCAGTTCTCTAAAAGGTTTTAGTGAAAGTCCTTCAATTGTAAACTTAAGTGTAAGGGTTTCTTAAAAGTATACTTTTCATGCTATTTTCAAAACCAACAAATCACATCCTTAGGCACTTCCATTTTAATCTTTATATGAAGAATGAAGCTTTTATGAGACATTTAAAGCTTTTTAAAGCCCTCATGTGCTGCTTTGCATTATCACAGCAGAAACTGTTTAGAAACCAGAATATTAAAAAGGATTAGGCTGGTGAGATGGCTGAGTGGTCTAAAGCACCTACTTAGAACAAGCTTAGCAAAAGCACAGGGACCGCAGTTCAATCCCCCAGCACCACATGCCAGCCAGCCCGCCCCCTGGTGGGCTGAGCTGGCCACACACACACACACACACAAAATAAAAAATAAAAAGGATCAAAAAGTATAGTGCCCAAAAGAAGTTTACGTGTAAGGGACCAGGGAGATGGGTCAGTAGAGTAAGCGCTTCCCTGGCAAGCACAAGGGCCTCAGTTCAATCCCCAGTTCTGCCAAAAAAGTGTAAATAAGACACACAGAAAAACAAGAAACTGAAAAGAACCAATACAATGTATGCAGAATATCATTAGTTATTACATTTGCAGGTTTACTTAGAAACATGTATATTTAATACACATTGCAGTAACGTAGGTAATACAGGGTTATACAGGCCAAATGCCCAATGTTTTATTTAGTCTGTATGTTTTCCAAAATAGAGATTAGCTGTTTTTTTAAATCTGTGATTCATGTTTTTTAAAAAAGATTTCTCATCAATATTCTTGTGTTCTCAAATTTTCTCTCATAATTCTCCCCCTACTCAAAACCAAATATGCTATTATTCGCTGTATCATGGTCCTTATCTAAACCACTTCTCTATATAAAAGATTTTGAGCTCTGGGTTGCAGAAGCTGGTAAATATTCTAGTCATTTTCCTTAGTAAGGACACATCAAAATAGATATAATCTAAGCCTCTGTCCATTATTCACAGCATGTATTACCCAACATACCTGTTATATAAGTAAACAAAATCACTGGCTGCAACATTACCAATCTACACACAAGCATTCATTTGCATTTTCTCTTAATTCACTTGAATCAGTGTCTGCATTTTGTTTCCTAATTTGCCTTTCCAAACAGGATACTATAGTTTCAACTACAGTGGGTATGTCTGAGTCAGAAATATTACATTTGACAAATAAGCAGTTTTCCAAATGATTGGCATTATGCAGATAGAAACAGAAAGATGCTCTATTATTGTAGATGCTATATTTTCCAAAGCCCTCTGAGATTTTATCAGTATTGGTTATTGCTCAGCCAAGTTCATTAGTAATGAATCAAGATTAGGAATACACCAACATGTTATGATCAGTAGTTATTAAATCATTGTGTATTCATTGGAGGCAAACAAGTCTCAAATTACAATGTCTACAAAGTTTTTCTTTAATATACTTTTTTGCTAACAAATTGTACAATATAAAAACAACAATGCAAAAAAGTTAAAGCTATTACAAAATAATTTAACTCATCTAAAAAAAAAAAATCTTTGCAACCTGAATCAAATTATCATGCAAAATTAGCACAAGCAGGGGCCAGGGAAATGGCTCAGCGGAATAAGCGCTTCCTGGCAAGCTCAAGGGCCTGAGTTCAACTCCTGGCTCCGGAAAAAAAAAAAAAAAACAATGGCAGTGGCAGTGGCAGAGAGAATTTGTTCCTTGAAGTCATGGTCAGAGTGCTCAGCAATCCAGGTTCTTGAAGTTGATGGTACCATTAAATGAGATGAACATGTCAAGAATAGGAAAAAAAAAAAAAAAAAAAAATTTAGCACAAGCCCAAGTTAAAGACAAGTAGGTCAGAACTAAAAGAAAAAACAAATAGGCTATAAATGGATTTATGGGCTGGATCACAACCTAACCACTTTTTGTATCATTCAGGAAAAGTAGAGTATGAAATGCAAAATAAATCTATTCTTTTTCTATATGGTTTATAAATGATCATCATATCTATATAGTATTTACTCAGTCTATGCTAAACAAGCCTAATACTTCATAAAGCAAAAATTTTAATAATTGAAAATTCATGTTAGTGAAATAATAATTGGGTAGCAAAATAAGAAAGCCTAGATCAACACAAGCTGGCTAATAATACTCTTTACCAGGGACAGTTAAATGGGTTAAGACTTTTCTACTACTTGCTAAATCATACTGGGTTCATACTGTTTCTAACATTGACTGCCTTCCTAATCATTTTTAGCATGATTGGAATGCTTTACTCTCATATAATTTATCATAAAATTGTCAAGATTAGGGAAAAAAGCAAACTTGTCCTGAACTCACTTTTAATATAAATGCTGGCTTTTAATGCCATTCAACAAGTAGTTATTACATATTTATAATTAAATGCAGGTAATTCCATTTGAAAATCAGAATCTTGGTAAGAAACTTCCAAGTGTTTATGAAAGTATCACTTTATTGTGTAGTGCTAGAGATCAAACCCAGGGCTTTATTCACTTAATACTCTGCTACATTCCCCAGCCTACATAATAATTTCAATGTAGAAAGTTACAGATATTTTCCATATAAATTTTGAAAGTTATATAAAATGACTACCAGAAAAAACAATTGCAGTTCTTAAGCTCAGAGATACTTGCTTCTCACTGAGAACAGGTGGAA